CCGCCGCCGCCGCCGCCGCCGCCGCCGCCACCACCACCCGGCAAATCAATCATTTTTTTAAAAAGTAAAGAAAATATCAAACCAAAAAGAATGAAAAGCTAGATTTTAGCTCAACAGTGGGAAAGCCTCATGGATGATGTTACCAGGGGGTAGAAAACAGTTTAGGGTAGGACTTTCCCACTGAAGATCAAGACAGGACTAGGAGGGAGCTCAGGAGTAAGGTGCTTGCCTGGCATGTGTGAGACAAATATGAAAAAGTCAAGGCAGAGAGAGAGTTGTGATCCACATTGGGATGTCCTTGTTGGGCTGGGGAGATGCCTCCTTGATACTGGTGTCATACCCTATATGGGTTATTTAAGGATAGGTTAGAGTTAAATAAAATTGTCCTTGTAATAAATGATAAAATGTATCTGTAGCAAGAACTGTCTGATAAAACAGTCTTGGTTAAAACATGGGAAATAAAGATTTCTTTTCTAAGAAGTCTGCAGGAATGTGACTAGATACATTGTGGTACATTCTGATATATTCTTCTTGTGGCAGAAATCATTCATTGTCCCCAGTAACCAATTTTCCCTTTTTAATAGTGAAAGGCCTACCTAATTTATAGCTGAACAAACAGACCTCACAAAGAAAAAGAAAAGGAAACGTTTCTAAACCACCCCACCAGCACCACCCTGTAGCTACATATAGCCTCATAGCCAAGTTTTGGCCTTGGGATAAATAGGAGCCCCAGGGATGCCTGATTTTCACCCTATATCCCTAGAGTACAGGTATGAATGGCCATACTTTAACTGTTATGTGGGTACTGGGACCCAATCTCTGGTCTTCATAGTTGCATTGTGGAATATTAGTTTAAGGTGTGTTACAATTATTTATGCTGTGGAATATTTGTTTAATGATGCAAAGATGTGTTACATTCTTTTATGTTGCATTTGTTTTTTTGGTTGGTTGGTTGGTTGGTTGGTTGGTTTGGTTTTGGTTTTGGTTTTTGGAGACAGGGTTTCTCCGTGTAGTTTTGGTGCCTGACCAGGCTGGCCGCAAACTCACAGAGATCCACCTGCCTCTGCCTCCTGAGCACTGGGATTAAAGGTGTGCACTACCCACAGCCTAGTTTTATGTTGCATTTGTTTAACTCTGTAAAGCTGT